GCGGGGCCCGCGGCGCCTCCCATGCAGTCCCCTGCCCCAGGAGGGAGCAAGGCGCCATTGTGCACCCTGGGCCGCCTGTCAGGGCCGGTGGGCTGGGGCGTGACGGAAGCCATGCCTCCGTTAGCCAGGGTGCCGTGCAGCCTGCACGGAAACACAAACCCCTCAGCTATTTGCTGCCATTTGTGGTCGCCAGAGTGTGGCTCGTGACAGCAGCTACCGCATAAAGGTGGCCATTCAGGGCTTGGGCCACGCAAGCGGCTGTGCGGGGCTGGAAAAGGCTCGCTCTGTCTTTTCCAAGCAAAGCTCCACCGCTTGCGAGAGACAGACCTGGTATTGAGCGGGGAGAGGGGCCTCCTGTGCCCCGGGGGGATACGGGGCTGGTTCAGGCTCCCCTGTGCGAGGGGCTGGGGTGAGCTGCTTCCCCTGGCGCTGCCAGCTGCAGGCTACGAAACCGCGATGGCGTCCCCGCTGTGCTCCCTGCGGCTCGCGGGCTGCCGTGCCCCTGAGTGGCACTTTGTCCTGCTGGGGCAGCGAGGGCCATGCAGGGAGCTCTGCTGCTGCTGCCGCCGTCATCTCGCAAAGCCTGGAGGACCTGAACGTCCGCCCCGGGTAGCTGCAGGGCTGGGTTGCCTGTTGCTTGGGCTGTTGCCAGGCAGCCTGCAGTGGAGGTCTCTGCCCCAGGGCACCCTCCTCTGCAGCTTTTTCTTCCCGAGCTGTGCGAATACCCTGCTGTGCTGGGCTCCTGGAGCCGCCGCTGCTCCCGCCCTACCTGCCTGCTCCTCTGCAGGGGCACAATCGGCTCTTTCATTAGCAGGCGTCCCAGGGGGCTGTGTGGAAAATGAATGGAAAAGGCAACTGGCTGTTCTAGCTTGTCCATTAACATCCACCAGGAAAAACGTGTCAGATTTTTCCTTGACACCTTGGGCTGGGAGGGAGGACTCTTAAAGCTGCAGAGCCTGCCCTGCCCTGCCCTGCCCTGCCAGGAAGGTGCTGCCGTGGGCTGGGGGCAGCCGGCACTGCCCGGACGAGCCGTGTGCTCTCGTCTGCCCATCTTGTCTAGCCTGGCGTCTGCTCCCTCCTCTGCAGACGCACTGCTTGGCCTCTGGGCTTTGCTGCAGCTCTGAGTGGGCCACAGACTGCTGCCGGGCCCCCAGAGGTCCCGTGGGAGCCTGGGCGCCTGGGAGACCCCTTCCTCGAGGAGGCTCCTCGCCTGCCGAGAGGAGGGGAGCCTGTTCCCTCTGCCTGCCAGCCTAGGGGAGGGGTCAGGTCACACAAGGGCGTGCAAAGGGCATTTGGGATTTCAAGCCATCCTGAGTCGGACAAGTAATGTCATAATGCAGCCCGCAACCCTCTGCGTGGTGAAGGCACCGAAACGCGTGTGCCCACTGGTGGGGGCCTGGCTGCCATCTCCCCCCCCTGGGAAGCACTCAGCAGGAGTGTGCCTTCCCCAAGGGCTGCTCCTGCCGGGCAGCAGACTCGCTTTCTAGCTTAGTTGGGTTTGTTGTGGTTTTGGTGAGTTTTTCTGTAAGTTACTGATAATGTGAATGTAGCTGTGGCCTTTGGTTTATGTTCCTGTAGTTGTTCTACTTGGTGCGGAAGAATTGTTCTGGTTGCTCTGTTTTTGGGCAGGGGTAGTGTTCTCGCTGCCGGTGACGTCTGTGGCTGTGCGTGCAGGGCTCCCGCCTGCCAGGAAGACGCTGGAGTATCCCCTCGTTCTTTCTGTCGGCCCTCCTGCCAAGCACGCCTCGCTTCAGGTGGAAGAGTCTCGGCTTTGAGGCCTGGAGCCTGCAAAAAGAGCTCAGCAACGAGCCCGGTCAGGCCTGAGCTCCCGGGAAGATGGGGAGAGCCTGCTGGAGCTAACAGCCCGAGCTGTCGGATGGGAGCTCCTGCTCCGGGCAGGTCCAGCCTTGATTTCGGGCTCGCTGTGCTTCCCACTGCCTTGGCAGGCGCCTCCAGGGCCTCTCCTCTGGCAGGCAGCGCCCTCCCGCTTTCGGAGGGGACTGGCCAGGGAGACGGAGAGGTGGGTAAGAATGGGCTCAATCACAGAAAATGAGCTGAAGCCTTCCACGGAGCTGTTCCCAGGGCTCCCATAAAACAGCTAATTTGCAATGGCACGGCCCCCTGCCCCGGCCCCCGAGCTGCTGCCTGCCACAGAGGCACCTCTTTGTTCCCGGGCTCCGGGAGCTCCTCGCCTGCTTCTCCTGCAAGGCCCGAGGAACGTCCCCGGCCGGCCTTGTGCCACAGTCTGCCACTGGAAGCCGACGCTGGGCCTCGCTGGTTTTTGCTGGTTCCTCTGTGTGCAGGGATGTCTGTGCAGGCGCTAGAGTGAGCCAGGCTGCAGCTCGCAAAGGAAAGCGCTCGCTTTTATTGCTCGCTGCTCGGGTTGCGAGTTACATCAACAGGCTCCTGTTTCTTGAGTGGCACCACATGCCAGGGTTTTACAGATCCTGTGGAGCCTTTTCTTTCCCTGCTGCTGTGCCTCAGGCAGAGCTGCTGGAGCCGTGGCCTGTGGGACCCTCCAGGAAGGCAGCAGCAAACCCCCAAACCTCTGGAAAGCTGCAGCTTCCCCCCCAAGTCGTGGATATGCTGTCAAAGGAGCTCTGCTGCATGGCCCGGCAGGAAAGGTTCTTAGCGAGGAGTCATGAAGGCAAATGCGCAGGCTGGCTGAGGTGACTGTTCAGTGAGCTGGCTCTGTAGCAGCTGGGCAACAGTCCTGTAAAACTGGTTGTCCGAGCCAGTGGGTCACAGCGGGGGTCGGACTGTGCCTACCCCGCGTCACCTTTCGGGTGTCACGTCCCGAGTGTCCTGCAGAGCTGATGGGACTGTGACCACCGGCACTGTCCCCGTGCCCTGGCCACCTCCAGGCTCTCTTTGGATGGGAGGCTGCTCTCTGTGCCTGAGCCAGCGAGTAGGCAGGGTCTGCTGGCTCCGGTCCTGCCGTGCCCTGGCCAGGTCTGTTTTGCAGACAGCCAGCTGCCCCTGGTCAGAGATAGCGGGCTCTTTGACTCTTTTCCCATCTTGTCTTCCTTCCCAGGGCTGTGATGGTTCAGAGGAAAAAAGCAGAAGCCTGAGGTCCTCCTGGTTATACCTAGCTCTGCCAGTTGGGAGTGGGTGGAGTGGAGTGGGACTGAGTTGTCGCTAAGCTGTGGTGGCTGAGACTGGGTCAGCAGCAGGGGCAAAGCTTCCCACTGCCTGGGGAGACTTTTACTCTTTACCTGGGACAGTAAAGATTATTTCTTCCCCTAAACTCTGGGTTCCCCCTTGGTTTAGGGATGGCTCTGGAAGGTCTAACTTCCCCCTGCTTCTTCCCAGGGGGACTGTAGCCACAGCATGGAGTCGTTCCTTCGGCTGCAGGTATGCACAAAGGTTAAGCTAGACTTAACTTGCCGAGCACCAGGGAGGTGGGTGCTGTGAGTGGTGCTGCCTGCCTGACAGCCCTGAGCTCTGGGGTAGCTCCGGGGCCCCGAGACCCGGGGGAAGCCGGCACAGCTCAGTGTTCCCTCTGGGGCTGAGAGTGGCCCTGCTGATGTTATTTTCTGCCCTGCTTTTTCTGTCTAGTGCCAGGGTGCTTTCAGGGCAGGGTTCTGGCTCTGGGATTTGATTCTTCTGCAGATTGATGGGGGGCAAGTAGGTTGCTGGCTGGAGTGCGTGGTTTTCAGGATAGCCCAGAGGATCTGCTTATCTTCTGTTTGCGTAAGTGACAGTCCCGGCTGCTCCGCAGGGGGCTGCTCTCAAGGGGCGATGGTGGATGCAGCTTTGATCGCGTGGAGCGGTTGAGTGGAAACTGGCCTTTGCATCCAGTGGAACTGTGCGAAGAGGGTTTGGGGAGCTGAGAGGGTGGGAAGCACCGTCCGGCTGTCTGTCTGGCAATCTTCCTGGCTGCGTGTGCGAAGACGGAGCCACCCAACCCAGGGAAGAGGCAGAGGGGCTACCTCGTCCCGTGTGGCAGCTCTCTGGTGCTTGTGCCCGTGGGCGTCAGACGCATGTCGTTCCTGGAGGTCCCGGAGGGCTTGGGCTCAGCCCGGGGCCGTTATCGCGCTGGCTGCTACCAGCCTCGCTTCGTGGAACCGTAAATCCGCTTAATGGGCTGGGTGGGAATTCCAGCTCACCTCTGCTAAATGGGAGCTCTGATGCTGCGTGCGGGGCACTGGAAGTAGCTGAACTGAGACCTTATTCAGGACCAAATCACCCCCCGACCCCCTCCCAAAATAATAATAATCCCTCTGACATTCTGGCTGCCGGCGGGACACAGGCAGCCTTTGTGCTCAGCCGTTCAGGGGACCCTCTGTTGGTGCAACAGCAATGTCCCTTTGTGCGTCCCGCGTGCTGGACTGGGACAGTGAATGGAAGGTTCTGCTAGTGTTTATTTTCTTTAAAAAAGCTGGAGGGGGTGGAGAGGGGGAGAAGGAAGCCGGCTGGGAGGTTCATGTTCACATCCTCCGCTTGGAGACACCTTGTCTTTGCTCCTGCGCTGCTGCCCCCTCGGCTGGGCGCCTGCACAATGAGGGCTTGTGCAGCTCTGGCGGGGAGAGCGGCGCGCTCGGCTGCCGGGCGCTCGCAGAGGGGGATGGAGGGGACCCCCGGAGTGTGCGGGTACGACTTCCACACAGCTCGGAGAAAATGCAAATTCCTATGGCTTGGAGCAGCTGGGGAGAAACAGGGTCTGGATTTGTTCTGGTTTTTGGCCGCGCTTAGTAGCATCTTCTATCTCAGGCTCTTAAAACGGTCTGTGAGGTTGGTTCCCTTTGGAAGCAAACCGAGAGCAACTCTTTTAGGCAGATGGGTAAGACCAGGCTTAGCAGAATCCCTTGTCTGATGATGGGCGAGTAACAAGCGACAGAATTGGGCGCCAACCTCGGTGCTGTGCCCCCGTGAGCATGTGCTCCTGCTGCACCCAGACCCCGGGCACTGAGGGATCACCTGCCTCCTTGGCACTAAAATCCTGAGAGGTTTTCAGGAGATCCACGAGTGCAGCCTGTCCTGCAGACCTCGTGGCGCTGGGCTTTGGGGTGCCTGGAGCACCCAGCAGGGCAGAGACTGCTTGGAGGAGGGGGTGGTGAATCCCAGCACGGAGCTGCCTGCCCTGCAGCTGGGCTCCCCCTCACAGCGCTGGTCGGCTCCGGAGGAAGGACGGCTAACAGCCATGGGCTGGCGCACGTGGTGCGATTGCTGTGACCGGCCTCATGCCGGACCCCTTCTCCGTCCCCTTTGTGTCCCTTCCCAGTTGTGCGAGGCTGGCAGGCGCCCTGCGGGGAGGGGCAGCTCTGGACAGGGAGGGAGGGCAGGAGCCGCTCTCCGGGCTGGCATGAGAGGTGCACGGCTGCTTCTGGTCCTGGCAATGGCCAGGGCAGGGCGCAGCGGGACCGGGGGCCCTGTGCCCT